TCCTCGACACCTTGCAATCTGTGTGGGCTTTTATTTCATTCCTGAGTAAACCATCCCGCCCAGATCCTCACCACCAGTGACAGGAATATCAGTTGTCAGGGGCTCAACCCAAGGAAAGTCATCATTTCTCACCCACCCGCCTACCAGTCATTGGCTGTGTGTGTTAGGTGAGTCAGCACGATTCTGGGTTGGAAAACCTCCTTGCATTCTGGTAAAGGATAGTAAACGGCACCTGGTTCTCACAGTCCTGGTGACAGGTTTGTCTTTGGAATTAGCTGAAATGATAGTGGCTTTGATTGGATGAGAGAGGCACTTCACTTTACAGAAGGCAGAATGCTTGGGGTTCCTATGAACCCAAGGAGACACAATTAACACCTGATGAATGTGAGGAATCTCCCCCACGAGACAATCAAGCTTTAGATGTGGCCAGAGAGCAGGATTATCAGCTCATACATCTTGAGGGGGAAGATTCTTAGCGGATGTGAAGTCAGCAGTGAGGAGGGAAATCCAACACATGCTACAGCATGGATGAACTCAGACAATATTGCGCCAAGCAGAACTAGCTAACTGTAAAAAAGGTGAACTCTGCTACAAAGCACTTAAAATAGTGCAGCTGATAGGAATAGAAAGGAGATGATGGGAGTTACTAGTTAGTGAGCACAGCCTGTCAGGTGTGCAAGATGAAGTGCTCCAGAGATGCCTGATGCTGGGTACCATTGAAAAATGGGTGAGGTGGGCATGTTTTTATTATTTGTGTCTTATGCTATGGGCACTTTGCAATAATTTAAAATGAAAAAAAAAACCTAGGTGTAATCAAAAGTTGGTGAGAAGCATTCAGAGAAGTTCTGAGAATAGTGACAGTATTGGGGTGGAAAGGGAAGCTGTGACCTAAGAGCTTAAATCCTCCTTTACTTTGCAAGGTGATTGGGAAGCTGGCAGAAGACAGGCAGGAAGAGGGGGGAGATGGTATTGGGGGCAGTGCCATGGTTTATGTGAGTGTGTCCCCTATAGATTTGTGTGCTGAACACTTTACTTTCTATGTATGATATTGGGAGACAGTAGAATCTTTGGGAGGTGGAGTTCACTGGTAATGGTTTGGTTTTAGAAGGTGCTGCCCTCAGAAGGATTAATGTAATTCTCTTGGAATCCTGATTAGCTCATGCAAAAATGGATTGTTATATAGAGAAACTAGACTATGTGTCTGGCTTTTTCTGTATAAGGCTTTGTTATGTGGGAATATAATCAAGGGGGCTTTGACCAGGAGCCAAATAGACGAGATTGTTTGGCCTGTGGCTTTTATCCTCCAAAATGCGATTTGAAAAACCCCCTTTTCTTTATAAAGTTCCAGGTTTGGGTGTTTTATTTTATAACAACAAAATAGACTAATACAAGTGACATTTGCAAGAGGGCTGGGGAATGGTGTCTGGATGTTGCAGTGGGGAAAGAAGACTCCTATCCTTTATAAGAGACAAGAAAACGGTTAGGGTCAGTTGAGAAGTGGCAGGAGAAACAGAGAGACATCAGGGGACATTCAAGTTTCACTTAATGTGTAAGGAGGCAAAAGAAACTGACCAAGTGATGAAAATTGTCAGAATGTCCTGGGTCTTCATGGAAAGGAGGGGGCAGTCATTACAGAGCCCTTGGCTCAATAGAAACTTAGAATCCATGACTTTATGTCTTCCATCTTCTGGTGTTGAGGTGCTGAAGGACACCCAAGGCTTGGAGAGATATATTCCAGTCCTTGGTAGAGGGGTCAGAGCTTGGGCCTAGCCACCCCTCCCCACAAGACTCTGCTTTGCAGGTTAATGTTGAAGGAGATTCAGACATTTTGATGACTTCCGCGTTCCTAGAGGTTTGAGAAGAGCCTCTAGAGAGACTGCCGTCTTCCACTCCATGTCTATATTGCACCACTCTCATTCCCAGGGAGCTCTAGCACAAATTTAGACCTTTTTATTGACAGTTCTCCAGGAACCAAAGCTGTTTGTCAGTTTTGGCTTAGGCCAGTGTCTCAGTTAAGAGGTCTGGAGAAGGCAGATGATATGCCAGGTGAAGCTGGGACCCACCGTTAGGTTTCACACATTTTCATGGCTGTGTGGTATGTGTTAACTCAGGGCACTGATAGAGGGACAAGCACTGCCCACAGGCTGCATTAAAGTGTTAGTCATAGAAAGGGGGACCCAACAGGAGATAACTCTTAGTGAGGGTTGAAGGGTGGGAATGAGATAGTAAAGGGATGAGGGATGAGTGGGAATTAAGTGGAGACAGAAGATTCTGTTCTTTCTCCTCCACCTTAGAGGCTATAGAATGGGCTAGTCAGGGCAACCACATCCTCCTTCTGAGAAAGATCAGAGGCATGTGGGCAAACGAGTTCAGCTTCTGGTAAGTACTGGGTCATGCTGGAAATATCCGTTGGTATTGAAGTGTTGAGAATGAACTGGCTGGTTGGGCAAGCTTTCTTCTCCTGGCTGGAGATAGAAAAAACATGAAATTAAGTTCTGGGGGGTGTCTTCTGGGGATCTTCCCAGGGTAGGACACTTAGGAACAAGGACACTTGGGTGACTTTTCATGGCTAAAATACAGACGCTAGGAAATCATGGCATGGGTGCTCTATGGTGTCTTCAAAGTATACAGGGCTGCACCTGGGATGAGCTTGCAGCCTCTCATATGCTCTGATCCTGAAGAGCATGTGGATTTCTGGGGTTCTTGACATGTTGTGTTCAATTTTAACCCCAAGGGAGCAGAACTGCGTGGCAGATACCATAGTAGAACAACCCCAATCCTAAAGTCCAGGGTTTACTGACCCAAACTTTTCTTCCCCACCCTGTCTCTCTCTCTATTCCAAAAGTTCTCCAAATCCACTTGAGTCCATATAGGGATCTGGACAAATCTGGACAAAGAGAAACTTGGAACGTCTCTTGGACACAGAAGTTGGGGTCCCTGTGCCCTAGTCTGGCACTATTAAACAATGTGTTATGGGCATGCCATATCCAGGAGAGCTCTTTCCACCGGGAACCACTTGCTTCCCACTCCATCCTCTGTCCCTGTGCCATGAGCAGTTTTACTCCCCTCCTAACCCTCCAAATTCATACACTAGGTTATAACCCCTGCTATCTCAGAACATGACTACTTTTGAAAGTAGGTCTTTGAGCAAGTAACTAAGGCAAAATGAGATAAGGTGTTCCCCTAATACAGCCTCACTGACGTCTCTCCAAGAAGAGGCAATCAGGACACAGATAAGCATTGGGAAGATGATGCGAAGAACGGGGGCAGACACCACAATCCAAGGAACGAGGTCTCAGATGAAGGCTACGGCCACTACGGCCACTACAGCCATCTCCATGCCTGGATCTCACATTTGCAGAACTGTCAGGAAATTAATTTATGTGGTCAAAGTCAGCCAGTCTGTGGCACTTTGTTAAGACAGCCTGAGAAGATGAGGGTGCCTTATCTAGGAATACTTTTATTAGATGGATATAGGGCTAGGTTAGCACTTGTCTCTCCCTGAAAACCACAGAGTAGGATATGCAGCCTGGAAAGGCTGTGTGGAGCTATCTATGGAAGGGGACAGTGTCTTCCCTGGTTTCTCTGACTCTTCCCCACCACCATCTATTCCCTGTTAGCCTCTGGAATGCACTAGAAGCTGACCCTGGGGGACCAGGAGTAGAAACATGCGTCATGTCCTGCAGTTATGGAAGCAGGCTGCTGCACAGGATGACAAACACAGAGACCAGGACTTTTGCAAAAGAGAAAAATCGTATTTGAAGGCAGCTGAGGTGGGCACAGAAAGGGAGAAGCACAATCAAGTCCAGTTTCTGGAGGATGGGGTCTGATGACATTTATGGGATAAAGAAGCAGGGTGGTCAAGGTGATGTAATTGGTCTTCATGGCTCTTACACGGGATGCGTGTTCAGAACATACCAGCGTTAGAATGTTCTGAAGATAGACGTTTTGATCCTCTGATGCCAAAAGGTCACCCATTGGAAACTTGCTCAGATCCAGATGAGTCAATTTCAACAAAGCCTTCAAGTTTCAGAGAACTGACCCAGGCAACCATTATCACCAGAACCCACATGCAAGAGGTGTTCGTGGCAGAGAGTGGAGGACCAAGAACCTGCCCAGCTGTGTGGCTTCTCAAACGAGAGATTTTTCTTAAAGGTCAATTAGAAGTGGGGCTAGGAAGATGGTCCAGGGGCAACGCACTTGCTAGGCATGCACGAGGACCTTAGTTTTGATCACTGGTACCCATGCAACCGGGCTTGATGCAATGGTGCTCATCTGTAAGCCCAGCACTGGGTAGCAGAGGCAAGAACATCCCTGGGACTTGCTGGCCAGCCGCTCTAGATGACCTAGCAAGTTTCAGATTCATTGAGAGAGCCCGTCTAAAAAATGAGGTGGAGAGCAATTGAGGAAGACACCGACTGGACTTTGAGCTCTGTCTCTGTCTATTCTCTCTCTCTCTCTCTCTCTCTCTCTCTCTCTCTCTCTCTCTCTCTCTCTCTCTCTTGAACCTACACACACAAAACCAAAAATAAAATAGAAATCAGCTAGTCAACTAAAAGCAAGTTATTAACAGCTAGATGATATTTATTTATTTATTTACATCGTAGTTTTTGCAGTGGCGGGGCGGGGGGGGGGCCCCGGGGGGGTGACCTAGCTGGTGGCTCATTTAGGCTAAGTAGCTGCTCTGCTGTTAAGGTCCTTGCAAAATATGGCTTGTGGTAACACACCAACCAACACAGGCTTACAACAGAGCTCAGGAATCTCTTGCTGTTTTCCAGACCCAGAGGCTCATGTGGTCTCCCTTAAAGCCTATGCGAGACGAACGAGTTCTATAAGAATAGAAGTTTCTGGGCTGGACTGGGAATGGGAAGAAGTCTGAGCCAGCCAAGAGACTTCAGAGACAAAGGGCAATCCCGAGCTTGAGTGTCTAGTTGCCTTGTCACTGTGGCTGGCTCCTCCTCCAATCCGGAGGCGCCCAGTCCTGTCTGAGTAGCTGAGCTTCCTCGGAAGGGAGGAAACAGTTAATGTCTCAGGGCAGCTGCAATCAGCTAGGCGTGGCTCTTTGGTCTGACTTGGGCTACACAGATCCTGAGCCAAGGGGCAGAGGAAGGACGCCTTAGTCCGCAGAGCCTCCAGATGGCTGAACTGGATCTGATTGCCCCAGGGCCACTGCCCGGGGTCACCGTTCATCCTTTGGCTCCTCTTGGCCCAGACCCTGGGTCAGCTATCCCAGTAGAAGAAGAGGATGTGGACTCTGTGGGGAAGCCAGGAGAGGAAACCCAGGGACAGGGCTGTGATCCTGCAAAAGTCGGGGCTCCTGGTGATGAGGGGTCAGAGGAGATCCTGTGTGACTTCTGTCTTGGGGCCACCAGAGTGAGGGCAGTGAAGTCTTGTCTGACCTGCATGGTGAATTACTGTGAAGAGCACCTACGGCCACACCAGGAGAACAGCAGACTGCACAGCCACCAGCTGACGGAACCTGCAAAGGACCGGGATCTGCGGACCTGCCCTGCCCACCACAGCCCTCTGGTTGCCTTCTGCCACACACACCAGCAGTGCATCTGCCAGGCATGTAGCGAGGGTGAGCACAGGGGCCACAACACTGTGTCCCTGGATGCAGCCCGCAGGAACAAAGAGGTGAGTGATGGGGTCTGTCCACATGGGATAGGGCAGTGGGATATGGTGTCCCCAGGGAGAGGCCAGACATGCCACCACTCCTGGATCTGCTGATATCACTTCGTGTTCTGAGTTCACAAAGACTTTAGTCTGTAGTGCCTGGGTGTTGGTCCGGTGTAAGTAAATATCTATAGTGTAAGTAAGTATCTATGGCTGTTGGCTTTGGAAACAAAAGCAGGTCACTGTCCCTATTTCTGTGCCCCTGTTGCTGTGCAGTGTCTATTGTCTCTGTCTCTCCGTGGGAATTTCCTCCTGTTTCTTGTTAGTGTTGGTAATGTGTGTTTGGGTGTGGGCTGTAGAAGTTTTGCCTCAGGAAGGTGGTATTTCTCTCTGACAGATCTGTGAGGCATATTTACTATCAACCCACGAAATATAAACCTTGGCAGAAGTCCAAGGGAAAAGAATAAACCTCAAGCTTCATTTCTCGTTTTCTTTTTACTGAAAAAGAAGCCAGTATAAAAGGCTGCATTAGAGTTAAAAAAAAAAAAAAAGGCAAGATAACAGAATTTGAAATACACACTGAGGTTAATGCCAAGGACGACTTAACTTACTGGAAAATAAAAGTTCCTTACCTGATAGCGCTATCAGGAGTGGCTAAGAAATACCGTGCTCACAGTCTGAAATTTTACTTCCGTCAGCTAAAGAAACCATTTCTGGAATACTGGTTACCTTTGTCCTAAAGCCAAAAAGCCCAGATGAGACTTTGGGGATGATTCCACAGCTTTACATGGTTCTTTCTCCCACTTTGAGTTTTTCCTAAAGGTCCTGCTTCCCACTTGGGGCAGTTCCCTCTTTGCACTGCCCACAGCTGACAGGGCCACCGTCATTTTGTGGCACGTGTTCCTGGGCAGTTAATGAAAGAGGTACCTGGGTAAAGGACTTTCCTCACCAGGCTACTTCCCCTGAACCTATGCCAGAAGTAGATAGATTCTCTCTAGTCCTGGTAGGTGTTGTTCTGGAAAGTTCTGCATTCCAGATGCTAGTGAGTCACCATTTCCGGCCTAGGAAGCTACTTGCCGACTGTTTCTAGTGTTTCCATTATCAAGGATGTCCTGTAAGGAAAGTACAGAAATCAACAAATACATAAAAGGAAAGGGCCCTACCCAATGGAGGGAGACAGCCCTTGCTGGACATTACCACTTCAAAGTACTTTTTATGGATTTTCCCATCCAAAATTTCAATATGAGGGCTCTGATTGTCTCTACTGTGCTTGTTCAAGTTCACACAGTTGATGAGCGAGACACAGAAGCTTCTGGAATGCCACCTTATTGGAGAAAAATGAAGGAAAGCTCAAATCACAACATTATAATCTTAATATTTATTTTATATGTGGGTGTGTGTTCAAGTGGGTGCATGTATGTGTGCAGGCATGTGGAGGCAGAGGCCAACCTCAGGTATTGTCCCATTAACTGCAACCTCAGGTATGCAGTGAAATATGATTATATGAACCTCCCCACTTCCTCCTCCAACTATTCCAGTTACACCCAATCTGTCCCCTCCCAACTCATCATCTTTTTTTTTTTTTTATAACCCACTAAGTCAAGTTAGTACTGCTTATTTGAGCATGGGTGTGGTGTCATCTGTGGGAGTGTGGGAACCTTACCAGGCCATATCCTCAAAAGAGAGTGATTCTTCCTGCCCCCCAGCAAGTATCAACTGCCAATAGCTCCCTGTGTTTTGAGACAGGGCTTCTTCTCATTTGGATGTAAGTTAACCAAACAGTCAAGGCTGCCTGACCAGCAAGATCCAGGGATCCACCTGTCTCTGCCTCCCCGGCACTGGGTTATAAGCACATGACACTATGCCTAAATTTTTAACCTGAAAAATTTTTTAGATTTATTTTATGTGTATGTTTTATCTTCATGCAAATATGGGCACCACCTGTGTGCTTGGTAGTTGTGGAGGTCAGAAGAGGGTGTCAGATGCCCTGGAACCAGAGTTATGGACAGTTGTGAGCTATCACAATGGTGCCGAAAACCAAATCCAGGTGTCCTCTGCAATTGCAGCAAGTGCTCTTAATGATTGAATCATCTCTCCAGTCCCCAGCTTTAAAAAATATTTATTTATTTTCATTTTATGTATATGGATGTTTTGTCTGCATGTATGTTTATGCACCACTTGCATGGTAGGCACCAGAAGTACAGACAGTTGTGAGCCACCCTGTGGGTGCTGGGAATTGAACCCGGGTCCTCTGGAGAGGAGCCAGAGCTCTTAATGGCTGAGCTATCCCTTCAGCACCCCCAGCTTTTTCAAATGTAAGTTCTGGATATTGAATTTAGGTCCTCACGCTTGCACAGCAAGCACTTTACTGACAGAACTCTCTCCCCAGACCTATCTGTACTTAAAAAGAATAACAAAACACCATTAAAACAGAAAAACAAAGCTGGGAGGTGGTGGTATATGCCTTTAATCCCAGTACTGGAGAGGCAGAGGCAGAGGCAGGCAGATCTCTGTGAGTTTGAGGCCAGCCTGGTCTACAGAGCAAGTTCCAGGACAGCCAGGACTGTTATACAGAGAAACCCTGTCTTGAAAAAAACAAAATGAAACAAAACAGACAAACAAACAAACAAACAAACAAAAACCAACCATGATCTTGTGTACATACATTAGAGACATTTGGACATAGCATGCTGCTATTCTCTTTGGATATATAATCTGAATTTTATGAAAATTTAACTAGAAAACCTATCTCTACCAAACAGGGCAACAGATTTGAGTAGGGAGGAAGTTCTCCACCCCAACTCCAGATTCCACATCCCCTTCTTCTGCTCAAAACATCTATGTCTGGTTTCCTCAGAAATGCTCTGAGCCTGTATCAACACAGATGCAATACAAAGCGAAGGCTAGACCACCTAGTACCACAGAGACTTGAGTGAGCACTTTGGGCAGGAGGAGCAGTGTAGAGCATGTACAGAGAGCCCCAGATGTACACATCTAGGAGACAGCTGTGCAACACAAAATGCTGGCTGAGAGGCTATGGGGGTGTCGTGCCACAACTCTGTGTCATGGGCCCCTCTCTTTCTGCTTTGCTTTAGAGAGCTGTGTCCTTCCCATCCTATGTCCTTATTGTCAGCCCAGAGAACAAGTTTACTCAGTAGGTGCAGCCACACTCTGAGTGGCTCCACCAAGTCTTAGAAGTCAAAAGACTTATTGAAAGGTGCCCAAGAGCCGTGCCCAGGAGACAGTATCTTGAAGTGACAAGCACTATTAGGATTGTCGGGAAAGACTTATTTGACATATCGAAGGTTCCAGAGGCCCAGTGTTCCGTTCAGCTAGCCCACACCTCCTGGAAGCAAACTTGCTTTCTGAAGGTCACTCTGGAGCCAGTCAAGGGCTAATAACTCATGCAAGCATGTTGTGTACAGGAAATTGCAAAGTAAGTTCAGCTGGGCGGGCACAGAGCGACGTCAGCCATACGAGCCCTTTCTGAAGTGCCATGGTTACCACCTGTTAGATGGACGGATGAAAACCAGGCGTTGAGAGCTGGATGTACCTGACCACTGGTACCATCCTGATGAACTTCCAGAGCTCAGCTGCTCCTCACAGAGACCTTGGTGCTCCTCTCAGCTCTAGCTCAGCATCCTGAGACCCCTTGTCAGAATTGCAGGCCTGCCAGCATGGAAATGAGATCTCCACCTCCACGTCATCCCCAACCCTGTGTGTGTGTGTGTGTGTGTGTGTGTGTGTGTGTGTGTGTGTGTGATTTAGGTTCCCAGGACTACTTTTGTTATTTTCTCTGCCCCATGAAGTACATGTGGTTCCTTCCTGCTCTTCAGAGTGCATCTGATGGGTTAAGTGGTTCGATGGTTGTACTGTGTGCCCTCCGGGAATTTGGGCTCAGGAAGCTATGACACATACTATGATTTCATGGCATGCCAAAGGGTTGGTCTAACACAATTGCTGTTTGAAGTGGGGAGCTGGCCTGGAAGTGACATCAGGACCATGCTCCTGGAGGAGGGAAGGCCTGAGTTAAATCATGCCTTAGGCCTTTGAAGACCACTAGTGCCAGGTCACCTGCTCAAGCTTAGTATTGATGCCAGAAGGACATGATGGATCCTGATTGCACACAGTCTCCATGAAGAGAAGGCACCAACCATCTGAGAACTGGAAGGTTTTGTGATTGTCTGGAGAGCTGTTGTCACCCGGCATTACCCAGATGTTTGCTGGTAGTCAATAGGTGGTCTGGGGCCACTGGGGGTAATAGCTTCTCACAGAGACCCAAATGAATGTCGTGGGGTCAGTATTATATAACTTGTTTACTCACAAGCACCAGACTATCCCACTACATTTTCCAAGAGCCATGAGTGTGTGTGATCTTATTTGGCATACACTAGGAGCTGGTCCAGCCATGGAGGAATGGAGTCAGAATCCAGGTCTAACTCATGTGATACTAAAGGCAAAGTCAGTCTTATAGCAGAGTAGAAACTAAATAACTCGAGAAGATCCTACAGCCAAGAACAAGGTCTTCATACCCCAGTATGGTCCTTTCTCAGTGTTCTCCCATTCTGTGCCCTCTGCTAGAAGACACAGCAGTCTGTACTCCCTGGCAGCACTGTCCTGCTTTCAGGCTGGGTGCACTAGGGCCTGAGATGAGTGCAGGGCTGCTGTCTTAGGGGACTCTGAGGTCAGAGTCTAAGGCAGCCCATCATTTTCTAGGAACAGGAATAACTGGAGAGACAAGACTCCAAGGCAACCCCACCTTTTGTGGTAATCCGGAGTGGTGACTCAGAGGGGTCCTCCTCTGTAGGCATCCCTTTCCCTTTTATGGAAGTCTGAGGGCAGAGGCCAGAAGTCCCTTGCTGGACACCCTGGGTATCTCTTGAAAGCTTGGCTGGGATAGCCACTTTAAAACACACTTGTGGCACCGCTACTCAGATGATCCAAGCTGCTAGGGCATGCTCTGTGTGTCTTCCAACTCCTTCAAAACAGCAATTCACCTTTCCCTCCTCGACCCTGGGACCTCCTAGGCATCAGGTCTCAAGTGTCAAGGGTGTGATCACCGAGGTACCCGCAGCTTCACTCCAGTGACCTAGAGCTTGTGCAAAGTTTCCTGCTCGCCCTCCTCAATGTCCAGGTGCTCTGCCTACAGATGTTCCTTCGCTGTGTGTGTGTGTGTGTGTGTGTGTGTGTGTGTGTGTGTGTGTGTGTGTGTGTGTGTGTGTGTGTCGGGGGAAGGGAATAAAAGGGATGTGTGAAACTCCCCCAGGCTTTATGGGAAAACAGCTAGATTTATGACTTCTGAGGTCTATTGGGCATAATGACTTGGTTTGAAACACAGACAGAAGCTATCAAAAGCACAGAGAGCTGTTTATTAAGTGTGTGTGTTTTGTTTTTTGATCCCCCTCTCTATCTATCTCATAATGCCCTTGTGGACACAGGAAAGCTGCAGTACCTCTGAGGTTTGCAAAGGCTTAGGTTCTCTATGTTGGCAGATTGTCTTTTTGGCAGATGGTGGCGTCCTCTGAGCCCAGGAGTCAAGAGTAAAGAGTCAAGATGGGAAACCTAAGATTCTCAGGCAGGCACTTGCTTTGGCTTGGGCAGGAGTGGGGTGGGGAATGCAGAGCTTGCCTCCAGGTGCAAATATGGAGTATGGATAGGAGGCAGGTGGTGACGGGTGAAATTATTGACACTATGGTTCACTTATAGCGTATCTGGCCCTATAGAGTTCTTAATAATTTCATTTAGTTTATTATCTCATAACCTGAGAAGTAGGCATTTTTATCCCTATCTCCCTCTCATTTAGATACATGGATATCTAAATATCCATGTAAAGACATGGATATTTAGAGACATTATGTTGTGAAATAATAAGAAATGCATAGATGTCAATTGCTTTTCTTGGTGTTCTGGCTGGATACCTGACAAAGCCAACTTAAGGAAGGTAGAGTTTTTGTCTTACAGTTTAGGAGGTAAGGTGGCAGGGGGTTGGGCAGCTGGTCACATTGCATCAACAATCACAGAGAACAAAGACTAGAGAGATGACTCAATAGTTCAAAACACTTGCTGTTCTTTCAGAGGACCCAGGTTTGAGTCCCAGCACCCGAATAAAGTATTCAAACACATGCAACTCTGGGAGACATCTAATATCCAAAGCACAACCTTCTGCCTATCCCTGACCCCCATAGGTACATGGCTGTATCACGCTCTCATTTCAGGGAAGAAAGGCAGGGATGTGAAGGGCAGAAAGCACCATTGCCCTTGGGGACTATCTGTATATACCAGACTCTTTGCTCCTTAATTCTCTCCTTCCTTTTTAGGCTGACCTTCGGTGCATGCAGTTGGACCTGGAGCAGAAGCTCAAGCTGAATGAAAATGCCATTGCCAGACTCCAAGCCAACCATAAGTCTGTTTTGGTAAGAGGGGTTTGGGTCACCTCTTTGGCTTCAACATACTTGGCTGCCACTGCAGGGTTAGTGAGATCCAGTTGGGGCTGTAGGATGTGGGTTGAAAATCCAGCAGGGGTCTCAGCAAGTGAAAGTAGCAGGCACAATTGGCTACATTATGAGGTGCCTTCACCTTGTCAGGATTTCTTATAGAATAGGTTAAGCAGGCTGGAGAGATGGCTCAGCAGTTAAGAGTACTAGCTGCTCTTTTGAAGGACCCCAGTTCAATTCCCTGCACACATGTGGCAGCTCAAAACTCTCTGTATCTCTAGTTCCAAGGGATCTGATGACCTCTTCTTGCCTCCATGGGCATCAGGCATGTGGTACACAGACATAAATGCAGGCAAAGACCCATACACATAAAATAAATAAGAAGAATATTTTTTAAATTGACTAAAGTTTTAAATTGGGTAAGTGATTCATCTTTTAATAATATGAAATAGACCCAGATTAGTCTTGGACTAGCAGATTTCCTAATTTTATTTGTGCATATCCTCTCTCTTTTTCTCCCACTCTCCTTCCTTCTGGGGGACACACTCACTGTTGTAGGGAGACACTGTAGCCCCGCCTCCTAGGAGCCGCTACAGGTGTGCCTGGGGAGGGTGTGGTCAGGGGAGGTTCAGGATGACATGTGGGGAACTCTTAAGGAGAGGACAGATGTGGGAGCAGTCTCTTTTTTCTGGGCTCCCTAGCCTGCTGCCTGAGGGCACTTTCTCCGGCTTGTGTTTGGCTGGTGTTCATTTGAATAAAGACATCCTTATATCAATACACTATCTTTATCTTTCTTTTGACAGAGTTTCACATTGTAGCTCACACTAGCCTAGAACTTACTATGTAGATCAGGTAGCACCAAGCTCTTAGCAATTCTCCTGCAGCAGCCTTTTAAGTGCTGCTGGGATTACAGACACACACCACCACATCAAGATTATATATGTTTTCATAACTAAGGGAAATGTGTTTGTATGTGTGTGCTTGTGATTGGAGGTTTTAGTTAGAGCTCCAGGAATTATGTGTCCCCTGGCTTCTTCTATCCCTGGAGGGTGGTCTGCCAGAAGCTGGAAAAAAGAATCAAGAACTCCTAGATTAGTCAGTGGCATAAAGGTACGACAGGCAGCTTACCTTTAGTCTCTTCTGGTTTGATATTAATTTTCCAATAGTAAGTTTCATAAATACCTCTCATTGGTGACAAGACAAGAGCCACCACTCAGAAGAGAATGAAAGATACCTACCCTATGGCAGTGACTTGGAAGTATCGTCTGCATCCTGAGAGTGAATTATTCTATCCATCTGACTGTCCATTATTCACCCACACTTTATCTAGTTACTCACCCATCTATTTACCTTCTCATCTACTTATCTACATGTCCATCCATCCATCCATCCATCTATCCATTCATCCCATCCATCTACCCATTCACCATCCACCTACCCACTCATCCACCCACCCACACATCCATCCATCCACCCACCCATTCATCCATCCATCCACCCATCCACCCACCCATCCATCCACTCGCTCATATACATTTATTCTAATCTAGTATCCAACTTAATTTTTGTCTCCTGAGTGTTTATAACCAACTAGCTATTGAAGGATAAAAACCTTCCTTATCCACAGCTGTTAATTAAGCCACAGGCCTTCTAATTACTGTGTTTTCTGTAGCTCCCAGCAGTCAGGGAACACTCCTGAAGTCTCTCGCTCTTAAGACACAGAGTTGATAAGCCAAGCCTATCCCTTGCAGCTGTAAGATAGGCCCTACTTTTCACAATGACATGGTGATCAGAGAGATATGGTAATGACCCTCACATACCAGGAATGTGGAGACACAGAGAGTTGTTAAGACTGTCTTGGACTCTTCATATTGACTGGATGGGGGAATCTGGGATTGTTATTTTCTTGTCCCAAGAATGATTCAGTGCATTACTGGGTCTGTGCACCATCCTCAGATTTTTAAACCACTACCTACTGACTACTTTGATCTGTTCATGGCTCTCTCTTTGCATGGCTTACTCAGCATGGTTTGGGAAGTTATTAACATCCTTCACACATTCCATTCATATGCAAATAAACATTTCTTAATGGGAAGGTTTAGGAAGGAGATGCCCCAGCAGAAGCAGGAGTCTCATCCACCAACATCATCCATCATTCAGATGCCTCCTTTAGTCTAGCCTTCATCAAGATGACCTCTGATGGGATAGGGGGGGATATGACCTTGAAATTTGTCTTCAGACTAATGCCATTTAAACTCACATAATTGTTCTTTTATGAGGAACCTACATACTGTAACTATGGAGGTTAAGTGGACTATGTTCTTTTTCCATGACATCCTCATATGATTTCCATGTCTTTTTCTGTTCCTGGATTTTAGAGTCTGTTTAAAAAGTGGCTGTAAGCCAGAGAAGCCCAAGTCAAGCAGTGTGACACTGCATTGGTTTTATCAACACCACTTACTTGTCTAGGAATTCTTGACTCTTTTCTCCAGCCTCCAGCATGTAGGACTAGTGATCTGCTCAGACAGAGCACCCTCCCATGATAGAAGAAGCCCTGGTGTGTGCAACTCCTGGAGCTCTGAGCAAAGAGCTCCACACATCCCCTCCCGTGCAAACACAACCTGGTTCAGGAAGTAGTCACAAGCTTGCTAAGGTGACCTGTAATCTCAGCACGAGGGAGGCTGAGACCAGAGGATTGCCGAGACTTTGGAGCCAGTCTGGACAGGGAGTGGGCAGGGTGGGGAGTCCCTCCATGCTTCTATGGCTCATGAAACATGTATGTCTCCTGCTTGATGGGTGGGAAGGGTGAGTGAGCCAGAGAGCTAGAATGAGTTAGTTATGTGCAGCTTGGATGAGACACCAGCAGCTCCACAGCCCCCATCTCAACACCTAATAGCAAAGGCTATAAGCAAAACTGACCTGTCTTCCAAGGTAGATTCTCTATCTTTTCTTTCATTCTCTATTTGCATCATTAAAATATAATTTAGCATTTAGATTGAAATCCAGCCATATTCTGAGACAGTGTGTCACGATGAGTCCATATTCCATGGCTATAACAAAGTGCTTGAGCCGAGTTCTTTGTAAATGAAAATAAGTTTGTTTAGCTCACAGTTTTGGGGGGTTCATGATCATATGTGTGCCAGCTGGGTTCTGGTGAGGGCCTCATGGTGGCTAGCACCACAGAGGGAAGAATGGGTGCAGGAGAGGCAAGGAGAGCAAGACTCACTTTTTTTTTTATAACAACTCTCTCACGGGAAATGATGAGGGTTGGGGCCTAGGAAAACTACCTCAGTTCCTTCTGAGGATATGGGCAGAGCTCTCTAAGACGTTCATTTCCTTCCACTGCAACACCTTACATGCTGAGAACTAAGTGGTACAGCACACGGACAATCCTCATCTGAACCATGGCCATGATCAAACACATGGGTTCTGATCATAGCCCTGTGATTTTGGGCAAATCACTGAATTTGCTGGTATCTCATTTTCTTCATTTCAGAGATAGGGAGCATAATGGTGCCTTCTTGTGAGGTTGGATGCGAGGAGATGGGAAGTTTGCCCCGGTGCCTGCAACAGAGTAACACATACTCATACTTTCATATCATTGTACAAGTAACCAGATAGGCAGCAAGGATCCAAGACCGCCTCATGCTGCCCTGCCTCCTGCACACTACCACTTCTCCCAGGGCTTTTCTCAGTCTGGACTGGAAGAATTTGGAGAAAATCTGCCCTCTGCCCTCTTTCTTAATGGTACCACAGTGTATTTGCTTCCTGCTCCAACCAGCTGCCCTAGCCTAAGGAAACCAGCAGATAATGGAAAATCTGACATGCAGTGAGCATGTGGGCATCCCATACACTCTTCAGGACCCTCTCCAGGAGGGATGCCACTGGCTCTTTCCTTCTGCCAGCAGCCATAGATCAAAGGCTGACTGGAGACTATGTGTTCTCCAAGCATTGCATGCTAAGGCCCAGCCTGGACTAGGCAGTGGCTCTCCTATCTGCCATTCCTTCTTGCCTTCTCTCTCCAAAGCTGTCGGCTCCCACAGGCACCAGAACAGCCCTTTCCTTACCAGGTTACCCAGTTTGAGTTACTGCCTCCTTGGAGAGAGGGGTGCTTGGTGCCTCACTGAGGACATCAGCTGCTTTCACTTCCCTTGGAAGCCTGATGTAGGCCTAGTCTTGGCTCTAAATTAGGAAGAACTGAAAACAGACCATGGAGAGAGATCTCGGCTATGTGTGTGGTGGGGGTGTGAAAGATGCTGGGGCAGGCAGAGAATGGGCCCTGGGCTATGGGGTGAGGATACAGGGATTAGGGCAAAGGAATCTATATCCAAGACTTTCTCAGGAAGTGCACTCAGTGATGTACAATTGATTGGGTACTACAGTCACCAACAGTCTCTAAACCTTCGTGGTGACTGCCTGCAAGAGACATTGTAATATCAGATGTGCTTTTGGCTTAGCCGATGGTCATTAAACAAGGCACAATGAAATGCTAAGAATACTTTCCCAAAACAGCACAATCATTTCTCTCTCTTGAAATATATTTATCAAATATACTGAAAACTGGTACTGCCCTTATGACAATCAGTACAGTGGTTCTCACAGCCTGTGGGTCATGACTCCTGTGGGTCAAACGACCTGTTCACAGGGGTTGCCTGAGACCACTGGAAAAACACAGATATTTACATTATGATTCATAACAGTAGCAAAATTATAGTTATGAAGTAGCAACAAAAATAATTCTATGGTTGGGGGTTATCACAACAAGAGGAACTATATTAAAGCAGCATTAGGAAGGTTGAGAACCACTGAATCAGTATATACCTAGAAAAGTACATCTATTTTCCCAGGAACCCAGAATTCCCACAAGAACAAAACTGCCTTTTACAGTCTGATGTTCCTTAGTCTTTGGACTTCTCAGCTTCCTGGTTATGTATGTTGAGCTTTGATCATGTCAGAGACCTCTGTAACGGAGTCTTGCCTGCTTCCCACTCCACCCCCACCAGATGTCCGTGTCAGAGGTGAAGGTGGTGGCTGAAGAGAAGTTTGGGGAACTCCTTGCGGCTGTGAGGAAGGCCCAGGCCGACGTCATGCTTTTCTTAGAGGAGAAAGAACAGACTGCACTGAATCAGGTCAATGGCATCAAGACCCACCTGGAGTACAGGAGCGTCGAGATGGAGAAAAGCAAGCAGGAGCTGGAGAAGTTGGCCGCCGTCAGCAACACTGTGCTCTTCCTGGAGGTACTGAGGCTGTGTGTTTGTGTGTGTGTGTGTGTGGGGGGGGTTGCAGGGACCCTCGATCCACCTGGCTTGAGTCACACCATGAATGGGACTGTCTTTTCATACAGAGAGCTGTAAAAGCAGGGGGAATTCAGGTCTTGATGCATCAGGAACCAGTAATCCAGGAGGGACAGGGAGGACTGCTCAGAGTGGGGACGATCCTGGAAGGTGGCCCAAGTTCCAGGTTCTGTACTTGCTAGATAGAGATCACCATATGCAAAGACAGAGGACTGTGAGAGAGCACGGCTGGCTCAAAGGAGCCAAGGTGCTTTGATGAGGAGTGGGTGTGGGGGTCTCTGGTGATGAAGATGAGCCTGGCAGGGCCAGACTGGGCTGGAGAAGTTTAGAGCATAGAGATAGGTTTCATGAAACACTGCAGCAGTTGTGTGGAGGTTCGAGTGGCAGCGTGAGGCGGGAGAGAATGGCTGGTTTTCAGAGCGGGCTGTGTCCACTGTGGCAATTGAGAAGGACTTAGCAAAGGGAGTGGAACTTTCCGTCTCACAATGTATCACGTGCATGGGAGGCATAAACCAGTTAGCCCTAGGTCTACAGAACATGCCTTCTTCTAGGATGACACTCACATGGTCTTGGGTCTGTCACTAGATATCACTGTGTAGTGCTTAAAAAACTCACCCAAACTCTCAAGGGTATCAAATTCCTCACTTGCCAAACCGACAGGTCAGACAGAGTAAATAATTTGCAACTTTTCTTTCAGTTTTACTATTCAAATACAATCAATTTCTTGCTTTTGTTTTTTAAACAATTTCCTTCTATTTACAGAAAATCAAATACTTAGGGTGAAACCAGAAATATAGGAAAGAAAAAATAAACAAAAAAAAGTTTATAACTTCAGTACCCAAAGATAGCCAGCCAGTCTTTCAGCCAGTGAAATAAACATACCAAAAAGACCAAAAAGTGTGGGCCGCCATTCTTTCTCTCCATTGTTTTGCTTTGCAATTCCAAAACACAAAGAAAATGTGAAGATTTGAGTCCCCATTCCATGAGATTCTAATAAGATCTCTTCTAAAAAGTGAAGGAATCATTTTCCTTTTTTCTCCTTTTGTTAGCATTATTATTATTATTATTATTATTATTATTATTATTATTATTGAGACAAGGTCTCATATATCCCAGGCTGGACTCTAACTCACTATGCATTTTGTATGACCTTGAACTTCTGATCTTCCTATTTCCTCCTCCAAAATGCTGAGGTTATAGCAGCAGCCGCCACACTCCGTTTTTGCCATACTGGGGGTCAAATGCAGGGCTTCATGCATGTTAGGCAAGCACTCTTACCAAATGAACTACATCTCTAGACCTTGCAACTTTATTTTGAAGATTAAAAACTTTAATAATCATAAGATATATTTTAGCATAATGTAATTCAGTTATAAAACTTAGTTAAAGATAAGTTATTTTCCCACAAATAATTCAGTCAAAGTGACAACATTTCTTTATTTATTTAGACAGGGTTTCCCTATATAGGCCAGGCTGGACTTAAACTTGGGCTCCTCCTGCCTCAGCCTACTGAATGCTGGGATTACTGGCATG